TACCAGGCATGTCTAACAGAAGAATTTTTTTTCCTTCAGTATTTTTATGCAAGTGCAAACTATGCTAAACATTTCTGACTCTCTGATAAATCAGCCGCCCCTGGCAGCTGCCCAACTGAACAGCCGACAACTAAAGGCACGTCTCCAATACAGTGACAGAAACAGTGGCTTTGTAGTGGCGATGTACTCCACCTAGTACTAAATTAGCTGGTTTGTTACCAGAAGAAGCCTCACCAGAGCAGTGTGCAGGACAGTGCAAGCTTATTTATCCTGCATCCTGTGCCATACCTAAAAGGGACTGTAGTCTTCACTGTGCAATCTCTCTTGTCTCTTCTTCCTTAGTATCTGTTTATTTCTCAATTGTCTTACCCCATTTTGCCCCAGTGCTTCTCAACCCAACCTTGCGATTTCCAGTCTCCTTTCTTTTCCCATAACATCACTTACTGACAAGGTAAAACCCAGCCTTTTGTAGCAAGATATTCAAATACCCTCTCCTGCCATCCTTGAATGACCGTGGATTGCCATTTCCTTCAGCACAAAGCCAGGGGAGCAACTGCACTGCCAGACTAGTGTTTATTAAGTGGTTAGCCCCCTGCTTGTATGATATGTGGCCTTAAGCAGTAGGTACTGAGGTCAACGCATTCTGCTCCTGTTTAAAGGCACAGGAAGCGATGCTGCAGAATACAGCGCCCCAGGCATTCCTTAAGTATCTTGTCCTGTGTCAGCAAGATGCTTTAAGAACTCTCTATAGAGCTAGTTCTGCTCCATTTTCCCTCTTCCCTCACTCTGTGCATCTCAATATAGTAAGGAGAGGATTTTGCCCTTAATTGAAATTCCTTTCATCAGTTCAGATATAACCTGAACAAAGATATTGGCATGAAAATAGCAGTCAAGAGCATATCTTTAAAATGTCAATTTTCCTGTGATAAGCATGAAATGCAGTTAGTGCAAAGCAGGATTCCAAGTCCCCATTAGGTATGGCAGAGCTGCTCCCCCCACCCCCGTACACATGTTTGCACATCTTTGTTTTCCCTTCTACACTCTTTTCATGCTGTATTCACAACGAATATGAAGGTAGCTGCATCTTGATTAAGCTCATGCAGTCCTTAGAGAGAGCTCTTTTAAGTCCTGAAGAGTGTAATTTATCTTGGGCTTCTCCCCTTGGAAGAAATCGATCATATGAGCTTTCGGTGTTCTTTCCCCAGTTGTTTTTCTTGACATAGATATTGAGGTTTGCGTAGCATGGGTTTACATGGTACCTGGAAATAAATCTCTGTGATTCGACAGGACTCCTTTAAGGAGAAGCATATGATACAGATACCTTTTACAGATACAATCTGCATACTGAATATACCTGAAACACAATCACAAAGGTAGGCTGTATGCCAGTGTTTCTAAAGAGCAGGTAAGGTTTACAGACACGTGCCAAACTCATCCCTGGTGGTGGTGGTAGTAGTGAATCACAGAACCATAGAAAAATAAGGCTGGAAGGGACTTCTGTAGGTCACCCACTTCAACTCCCTGCTTGAGGCAAGATTGTCCTTATCCATGCTATCCCATACAAATCTTTGCCTACCCTGTTCCTAAAACTGCACAATCGTGGTGTAGTTGTTATTTATATCCTCCTAGAGTTCCAGCTGTCATAATGGCCATAGCAGAAGCGCTAGCATTGCAGCCCTGTCAGATTTTAATGAATCGGTGAATTCTGCTAAATACCTGTCATCAGCAATCTTGGCCAGGGCATGAGAAGAAGAAAAAGAAGAAGTGCCTAGAAGCCCCTGTCAGAGACAAGGACTCTACTGTGCTTGGTGCTGTACAAATGCAGAACAAAAATGACAGCCCTGTCCTAAATAGCCTACAATGTAAACAAAGACAACAGCGAGATACAGACAGACAGGGAATACAAGGCAGCAATGAGACAATATCAGTCAGCTCAGCGCCTGCAGTCTTGGCTCAACAGCTGAGCTGTTGTCACGCATTGTATGGGCATCGTGGCAGAGTAGTGTGTGAAGGAGGGACTTGAAGGAGAAAAATAAGATAGCCCTGGGGATGCATGTGGGGATTCCTTGCCAAGTGCAAGGTATGGTATGGGAGAAAGCACAATGGTGCTTGTTTGGAAATTTAATGGGGGGTGATGAATGCTGGCATTAGAAGCTGGTTTGAAATGGGGCTCCTCAGCCTTTCAAGAGGAATGAAAGATGTTAGTGTGAGTGGAGGCAAGCTGTGAATGTCCTTGCAAGTGAGGCCAAGTATCAGATCTATAATGCAATAGTAAAGAAGGAGCCAGCAGAAGGTGGTAAAGAGAAAGTCAAAGGGAATGTCGAGCAATATGATCTTCTGTGTGAATACAAATGGAGGAAGGTTTGCATAGAAAAAATGAAATGCTGAGAGTTTTAGCTGCATGGATAGTTAGCAAGTCCTGTAGCTTACAAATGCAATGCTGAAAGGATTTGCCAGACTTAGACATAACCTATATGTGAGGACAGTGGGTTTCCAGTCCATGGACTGGAATTTCTAAGGGCTACAGAAATGCAGAATATTGTTATTATTATTATTACTATTCCTATTATTATTATTACCAATAATAACACTAATAGTGATAATAAATAATCATCATAATAGTTATAATAATAATGATGATGATAATAAAATTAACACTAATATTGATGCCTGTACTCCTTGTTTTTGAATTCTAATGCACTAAATTAACCATAAATCAGCACAAGTTCCATTATGAATGTCCTGGTCTTTGTTTTTGTGTTTGTAATGAACCCTGTAATATTGCACAGATTTGGATGTTTGATGTGAACTGTTTGTCTAGCTCTACCAGTCATTTGCTTTGGCTGGACACCAAGCATGGTGATTACTTGCAAATAAATCTTTTATCCACAGCTACTGGCAGGCATCACTTCTGACTTCATCCTCACCATCTTTCTGACTGCTCTTGTTCAGAGAAAAAGAAACTGTATGGTGAGTACTCTGCCCTTGTAACCAGTTTGACAGAAGTCATGGGACACGACAGAAATAGTAAAGATATAGCTATCAATGATTTGGGTTGGTCTAATAAAAGATATCAAATTCACCCAAGGAACCTTGTCTAGCTATCAATGATGCACTCTGTTACTTGTCTTGTTGGTAGCTGTTTTGAAAGAGACCTCATCCACTCTACTTCAGGCCTCTCCTATCACTGCCATCATCAGTAAATTAAATCTGATGGTAAAAGTCCCACAGATGCTAATTTTCCAGCAGGTTATGTTTCCTGTCTTGGGAATAAGCAAAGTTGAACAGCTGCCCTGGTATTAAACTCCTCCATATTTCATCACTGCAGGTCATCTATTAGAACGTAGTGAAGAAGCTGTGCTCTTTGTTCAGTAAGTTAGTGTCATGTTTGTTACAGGGCGCAGCGGTGGGGACATCTTTATTTACAGATCATTACAGAGATGAGCTCTGCAGCAACAGGCAGCAACACTTGTTTTTTCTTGAGTGTTTTTACAGTATTTGGTCAAGTGAAAACTATGCAGATGCCTGCTGGCTGAAAAATGCACAAGAGCAGAAACAGCGCAAAGGAAACGCTGGGGAAAACAGAGGGCAGGCACAAGAGACAAACTGCTGGGCCAGGAGTAAGGGGACTATGGAGAGGAAAGACCCATTAAAGCAGCTCTTCAAAAAGCAATTTCAAACTTCAAGAATAGTAAATATTAGCAGGGCATCCCTTATCCAGTGCTTTCCTGGTCCCAGCATGAAGCAAAAGGAGTGTTGATATAAGAACCAGTGGTGTTGACTCTTTGTTCCCCGTGACTCCCTCACGCCAAGGGAATGTCACAGGGCTGGTTGAGAGTGAGGCGCGATGGCCAGAGCACAACAATACCCAAGAATCATAGGTTTCTTGTGTGCACAACTTAGGTTTGGCTGGACTTACAGCTACCAACAAGACAAGTAACAGAGTGCATCATTGATAGCTATATCTTTACTATTTCTGTTGTATCCCATGAGCTCTGTCAAACTGGTTACAAGGGCAGAGTACTCACCATTCAGTTTCTTTTTCTCTGAACAAGAGCAGTCAGAAAGATGGTGAGGATGAAGTCAGAAGTGATGCCTGCCAGTAGCTGTGGATAAAAGATTTATTTGGGCGTAATCACCATGCTTGGTGTCCAGCACAACTGAGGGCAGCCTCAGTGCTTCTCTAAGCTTGTCTATGTCAAATCAAGCCCCAGCTGGCTTCAGGATCAGTGTGAGTGTGCGTGCATGGGTGAGCACACCTACGCTTATACTTGCTTTATGCATGCACAGAGTCATCTGTGCCTGACCTCCATCAGCCTGCACTGCAACTCAGCCTTTCAACATTACACGAACAGGGCTGGGGTCACAGGCACATTTTGACTGGCTCTTGAGTAAGTGCACAAAGGGTTGGATGAGTCCTCCCTTCTCTTCACTTTTGTATACCATTGTCACGTGTCTCTTAGCTATTCAGAACTGATATTCATTAAATGAGTGATCCCTTTAAGTCGCAATCATTTTACTTCATTGAATGCTATATCAGTTTTATTCCAGGCATCTGGGTTGTTGTGATGTCAGTGGTATTAGTTTACTGTTAGTCACTCCTTTTCCATACCTATTCCCCACCCTCCCCTTTTCAGTATGATTTGCTTTATGCAATTCCTTGCTAATTTCTCCATTCTTCTCTCAGACCCATGCATTTGTTACCTTTCTAGAGGAGACACCCACTATGCTTGAACTATTTCATTGTACAAGAGCATGAAATTAGACTAGTCTGCAGATAATTTCTGACAAGAACAATGAAGAAAATCTCTTAATTAATGACATTTGTATAGGTTAGTTCACCAGAGCTGTACATTTCATGTACATTTCCCTCGGTCTTAAAAGAGGACTCTTTCACCATATGTATATAAGGGAAGAAGAAGACCGAAGTGATGTTTCAACCTGCACCTGGCACAGCACCCCAGGAGCCACATGTCTCAGTTAAAGGCCAACAACTGTCGATGGTCAACAAGTTTGCCTATCTAGGCAGCACACTCTTCCATGCTGTCCACGTCGATAACAAAGTCAACACAAGGCTAGCAAAAGCAGACTCCGTAAGTCGGTCTGGGACCACAGGGGCATCAGAATGTCAATGAAACTGAAGGTTTACAAAGCCATCCTTCTCCCGACCCTCCTTTAAGCCTGTGAAACCTGGACCGTCTACCAGCATCATGCCAAGGGACTAAACCACTTCCACCTGTGCTGTGTGCAAAAGATACTGAAGATCAAGTGGCAGGACAAGATTCCACACACTGAGGTGTTTCGGAAGATCAGCTCTTCCCAGTATCCACCCCCTACTGAAATTGGCACAGCTAAGATGGGCCAGCCACCTTTCAAGAATGCCCGATACTAGCCTGCCAAAGAAAATTGTCTATGGTGAACTGTCAAATGGAGTATGCTTTTGAGGTGCACCAAAGAAGTGCTACAAGGACACCCCAAAAGGGTTCCTAAAAAGTTTTGGCATCAACTCGGAGTCGTGGGAGCAAATCACTTATGACCGTCCATCCTGGAGGTCATCGGTCCAGAGTGGAGCACTGGCCTTTGAGCAGCGGCACAGAAGCAGTGAGGAAGCGTGTGACCAGGAAAGCAAGGACCTCTAGTGTCCAGTCCTCATTGCTCTCCTACCCCTGTTGCAGCAGACAGTTCAGGGCAAACATCAGGCTTATAAGTCACCTACGTGCCCACGTGACCTAGCCTCCACCCCTTCCCCCCACAACTTTCCCCTCTCTTCTTTTTTTTTTTTTCCCTCTCTTTCTCCCTTTCTCTTTTCTCCATCCCTTTTTCTTTCCCACTTCCTTTCTTTCTTCTCCCCCCCCCTGCCGCTGCTGGATGTGGTCATGTTTGCTTGCGAAGGATGAAGAACACACGTAAGGAAAGACATAGGGTAAAGCTTGGGAAATGTCTTTAATTATATTCTATTTACAGCAGCAATCTACCCTTGATATAAGAGCTTGGCCTTTGTTATCTGGTTGCATTCATGCCATAATCTATTTTAGATGTTTTGATGATATGATGTAGTCTGAGAAATGACTTATCTCTTTCAGCATGCTTAGCTTCCAGGTTATATCATAGTTTTGGTGTGCCCTGTAGGACTGACACACAAAGGCACTGCTAGACAAATTTCACTTTATGCGGGACCCAGCAGTAAGATTATTTATTAGGATACAGCCATTCCTGCAAAAGAATGCTTGCACTGCCGATGTAGTGCACCTTATATTGATTTTGAAATCCTGCTTATGATTTTCAAGGAAGATCAGGATGGCTCATTCATATAGCCTGCATTTGCTAAATCCACCCAGTACTGCCTATTTACATACTTCAGAACAAAAATTGCTTGTGGTACCACCATTCAATCAGATGTTCTCTGAGTTTTGATCCTGAACCATTGTGATGAATCTGGGTTCTGGATTTACTGGTCTTCAAATTAACAAATTCTGACTCTCTCCTAAAATGTTTAAACTAACAGATGAGTTTTGATAATGGAGCAGATCATGGAGGAGTTTACTTCTAAGCACCTGGAAAACAAGGTGATCAAGAACAGCCAGCATGGATTCATCAAGAGCAAATTTTGCCTGTCTAACTTGATTTCTTTCTATGACAACACTGAAAACTCTGTGAATAGAGGCAGTGGATGGGTGGGGTAGGGTGTGGACTTCCCATGACGTTCTCATTAGTAAGATAAGGAAATACAGACAAGATTAAAGTATGGTATGATAGTACATCATACTCAATGAGTAGTCGTCAATGGTTCAATGTTCACTTGGGACAAGGTATTGAGTGGAGGTCCCCAGGGGTTTGTCCAGCACCTGATATTTTGTAATATCGTCATTAATGATTTGGAGGAAGAGGCTGAGTGTACACTTAACAAATTTGTGGATGATAGCAAATTGTGTAGACTTGCAGACGCTCTGGAGAGTAGGGCTAGGATCCAGAGTGCCCTGGATAACCTGGAGAAATAGTCCACAGTCAGTCAGATGAGATTCAACAAGGACAACTGCAAAGTCCAGTTCTTGGGACAGAATAATTGCATGCACAAGTACAGACTGGGGAATGATTTCCTAGGCTGCAGTACTGCAGAAAAGGACCTAGGACTTATAGCAGGTCAGCAATGTGAATATGAGCCAATATCTTGTTGCCAAAAAAGCCAGTAACAGGCTGGGCTGGATTAACAAAAGGGTCACTTGCAAATCACGCAAAGTGATTCTTCCAATCTATTTTTATTTTTTTTATAGTATTGTTGTTCCTAGAAATGGAAAACAAAAAGCAAACCAAAGCAAACGAACAAACCAACCAAAGCACACCTTACCTTAACATTGAAAAGACATTTAAAATGACAGGTTAAGTGATAATGAAATAATTTCCATTTAAAATGCTGTGGATATTTCTAAATCAGTTTTAGAAACATTACTGTTCATTTATATGCATGTAAAAAGCTGGGTAATGAGCATGCATGGACAAAAAACCACATCCACTCATGTGCCTAATGTATTTAGTAGGCACAAACAGTGCATGCACATGAGCAGAGCCACAATCATAGCTGGGCATGTAATTGTACTTAATTTGTAATTTTACAATGCAGATGTGGGCTAATCATATGGAATAGCCCTTCAGCAATATATCATATTGTATAATTCGAGGATCTAGCTGGAACTAATGCTAATAGTAGCATAAAGTGCATAATGTTTCTTTAAATAAAGAAGTGCATCCACCTTTTAAAGAGGCATCAGTCATTCCTTTTGTCTTCATTCGGGGGAGGGGGAAGAGATGCTTTTATTGTACGTTTGTATAACATTCTTAAAACTCCACTGATCCTGGAACCATCAACGTTTCACACCCAGGTCTCCTTTCCTTATCAATAATTCAGTGGAGTTGTTTATGATAGGAACATTTGTGCAACTTTCCTGTATTCACAACAAGGATTCTTGGGTCTGTGTGTTTGCATGATTCCTTGCATATAGATGTGGGGACATTATTTTTATAATGATCTCACTAATGATCATTGGGGTATGAGTGTGTGTGTGTGTCCAGAGCCACTGGGAGGGGCAGTCTGTGTGTATGTCTGTCCCCAGATCCAGCGGGTGTGTGTGTGTGTCCAGATCCAGATGCAGCAGTAACAGCAAGTGGTGGCTAACTCAGCTGTCACTTGCCCCTTGCTGCTGACACATCCCCAAACAGGATTCTGCACCTGGGTTTTGGCAGTCAGCCCCGTCCCCACTCAACCTGCTCCCAGATTCCCTTGTCCTCTGGGAGCCTCATGTGCCAGGTGACACAGTTGGTTGGATCTGACACCCTCGATATAGAGTTTGGACACAACAGCAATATTCACAGCCTGCCACAAACAGGCAAACCTGTTGGGCCCCAACCCTACAGGCCCTTGCACATCCCTGACTTGTAGCCATGAGCCCTCTAACTAGTTTCCATGCAGCCATTCCCTAGGCATAGGCATGCTTTGCACATGAACCATTTCAGCAATAACTGCGGTGCGAGTGAGCTGGAGCGGGTGTCGCGAGAGCTTCAGGGCTCTGGTGTGAAGGGCTGGGATGGGGTCAAGCCAGTGCAGAGGACAAATGAAATGCTGAGAGCTTTAGCTGTGCGGACAGTTAGGAAATCCTGCAGTTTACAAATGCAACGCTGAAAGGATTAGCCATAGCCCATATGGGAGCACAGTGGGTTTCCAGTGCAGGGACTGGGATTTCTGCAGGAATAGAGGCAGGTTTCCAGTGCAGGGACTGGGATTTCTGCAGGAATAGAGGCGGGTTTCCAGTGCAGGGACTGGGATTTCTATGGGAATAGAGGCGGGTTTCCAGTGCAGGGACTGGGATTTCTGCAGGCATAGAGGCACACGAGGTTCTGTGGGTCAGGGATTTCTATGGGAATAGAGGCGGGTTTCCAGTGCAGGGACTGGGATTTCT